GTGTCAAGATTTCCACAATGCATGTTGTGTTCCCAACACGTCGAACGATGACACCCGGAATGCAAGTCTGCTTCCTCTGTAGTCCTTGGCGTAGATAGTGTCGTTGGGTTCGAATTTGCGACGTAGTCCTTAATGTCTTGAATTGCGTTTTCATTTTGTTGTCTCGCGGTACATCAGCGACGTCTTCTTGAAGTAGCATCAGATCAAGATCGGTCCGCTGTCGGCGTCATAGGAAGGCTTTGGCAGGTGAGCGTTGGTGTTGTGCAGATGGGCATGGAATAGAACGGTAAGCCATCAGAAACCGTTGCAGAGTGTCAACTGGCGGTTCCTCGACCTTCAATTTGGCGAGTCCTCGTTTGGAGGCACCCTTAAAGCGTTCAGCCTGTTATTGCTCTGCGGATGGAACGGCGGCGTATGAACGTGTGTGATTCCTTTTTTCGGAATTCGGAACGGCAGAACAGGGCGAACTGTGACGATGTAAACTGCGTCCGTCTTTGACAAGAGTCGTAGGGTTCCCGAATTAGAAAATATCCTCCAACACTTGTATAGTTGAAGTGGAAGATATTGTTAACGTCCGGACGATTTCAGGCCATTTGGAATATGCATCCACGAGTATCAGGAAAAATCGTTCGTTCATGGGTCCTGCAAAGTCAGCGTGCACTCGAATCCATGGAGAGATTGTTTTGGCCATGAATATAGTTCGGCCTTTACGGGCTCCTTTGCCACTGGAGCGCATGTGCTACAATTCCTGACAAGTTGTTCGATGTCAGTATCCAGTGTTAGCCAGTAGACGTAGCTTCGTGCTAACATCTTCATCCTTGTCGGTCCCGGATGAGCTTTGTGTAGCGTCGTAAGTACACGGCGTTGTAGTGATCCCGGTATCCCTGACAATGCGAGATGCGGTGAGTAGGCAACCGTCAACAGTCGTCAGTTTGTCTCGGCGGTTGTAGTAGTGCCAGAAAAGAGAGTTGTGATCAATAGTGGGCCAATTTTGAGACTTGGTGTAACCAATGATCTTCTTGATGACATGATCGGCTCTTGTAGTAGTCCGGATTGTTTCTACAGAGAACTTGTTTCTACAGAGAACGGAAGGTGGCGGCAAACCTCGATAAGTTCTGCGGCCACATCGTCATCTACGTTGGCGATAACGTATCTCCGGTGTCGAAGAGTGCGACGCTATTAGGCGTGAGAGAGCATCCACTTGTCCGAAATCCTTTGTATTGATATATCCGATTGTGAAGTTGTAGTCGAGTGGATGGTTAGCACTGCAGACAGGTGTTCCTTTCTTGCTTACGGAAATAGCAGCGAGTGGTTTGTGATCGCGAGTGGTTTGTGATCGGTCTTCAGCGTGAAGTGTCGTACGTGGCGAAGCGATGAAATTTCTGCACGGCGAATATGAGAGCTAGGGCTTTTCTTTCTTCTGGCTGTAGTTTTTCTGTGCTGGAGTAAAGCAACGGCTAGCGTGGTAGACGACCTTCTCTGATCCGTCGGGGAATCGGTGTGATAGTATTGCTCCAATTCCATAGAAGCGTCGGCGGCCATTCGGATCGAAGTGAGTCAGCAACAGATCCGAGGTGAGTGTTGCCTTTATCTTGTCGGAGGAAGACTGGCACTCCGGAGTCCACGTGTAGACAGCATCCTTTTTTGTTGGGGCGTCTAAGGGGTACGTAGGTTGCGCAGATCTTTGACGATGTTCCGTAGAAATTGATAAGTCTGAGAGAAGCGCGTAGCTGGCTGACTTCTTTTGGAGCTGACATCTTTTGTATGGTTTTGACCTTGTTGGGGCCAGCGCGTCGTCCTTGAGCGTTGATGACGAAGCCGAGGTAGTTGATCTCTGTCTGCAAAAATTTGCATTTCTCGAGACGAACACGGAATCCGTAGTCCTGGATTCGCTGGAGCACAGCGTCTAGTCGAGTGTTGTGTTCGTCGATGGTCTTGTCAGTGACCAGTGTGTCGTCGAGGTGGGTGGCAGTTCCATCTAATCCGGCAAAGAAAGTTTCGATGCATTGCTTCCCTTTCCAATTGCAGGTACGCTTCGGCAAAGTCAAGTTGTGAGAAGTAGCGTCCTCCGTTGAGCCTCGTAAAAATGTAATCTGGAAATGGAAGTGCGTACTGGTGCTGTTCAAGTGCTTCGTTCAGTCCTGTCGCAGTCTGTGCAGAGTTGTAATAAAGCATTTTTCTTCTGAACGGCGACATAGGAGCGGCGCATTCTGAATGGTCGAGGGCGTCAGAACCTGTGTAGATACAAGGCGATCGATTTCAGTCAAGATCTTCTGAACAGCGTATAGAATAGGATAAGCCTCCCAGAAACGGGCTTGGCGTTGGGCTTCAGAGGGAGCTTGGCCTTCGGCTTCGTGCAACGTCCTAATCCAGGCGTGAAAACGGTAGAGAACTTCTTCCTCAAGCGCGCAGTGAGAGAAGAGTTCAAAGCGTTGAACGTCGATGAGGATATATTACAGATGGAGCCCTCCGTACGCGACGTAGCAAAGGCTCGTGCTGGATGATCCAGCACGAGCCTTTGCTACGTCGCGTACCGAGGGCTCCATCTGTAATATATCCTCATCGACGATGACGGTGTGTCGGCAACGTAGCGGGTACCTCGTCCGTGATGACCATCAATGACGAAACTGCACTCGTATCTCATAGTGATTCGAGGGGGTCGCAACATCGGTCGGCCCATGGCGATCCAGTCCGCTTTGCTCAGTAATGTGACATCAGCACCAGTGTCAAGCCGCGTGCGTATTGTCTTTTCATTGATCTGCGTTGGGCGATAGATGCGGGATATGGAAGCATTGGCGGCATGTGTTGAGGCGACGACGACGTTGTTGGCTGCTCGCTCGTTTGTGTCCTGAGTCGCCGCAGTCATGACAGGTCTCGTCCCGGAATAAACAAACCCTTGACCAGTGGTTTGCTCCACAGCGAAACATGGCGTTGGTGGGTCGTGTTTTCGGTTCTGAGAATCAACGGCGTTGATGTGTGATGAAGCAGACGCTCGGGGAGTGTGGATTCCTTACGAATGTTGAGAATCTGCTGAATCTCCGCGGCCAACTGTTTTAACGTGGTTTGCGGATTGTCTTCCATCATGCGGAGTGCTCAGGCCCAGATATCAGCATTGGGAGAGGCGAGCCTGCGTTTCCATTTAAGGCATTTCATCTGCTCTGAATTAACGTCGTTGAATTCGGCCATCGCGTGTCGCTGGTTGACTAGTTCAGTATAGTCACGCAGATTCTCTCCATTGCGTTGAGTCTTCAGATATGCGTAGCGGCGCGAGAAAACCGACGTGTTGTGTCTAAAAAGTTCCTTCAGCATTGTTACGGTACAGCGGTGTTTCACATGCTCTTTTCGGAAGAATGTGGTTTGTTAAGCGAGGGGTCCGAAATCTTCTCCTNACATAAAAGCGAAAAAGAAACAGGCAAAAAACGATCAAGTCTAATTAAAGGGAAAGGCAATCAGCGAAAAATATTGAGTCCTATTGAATGGCGGGGAGGCGGGGTGAGTACGGTAGTTGCAGTGACATTTGCCGCATGCCGCATGGGAGAATGCCGCAACCGGGGAGAAGTTCCGTTACCCGTGAAGCGGGAGTATGTGATGTCGTCGAGCTTGGAAGCGATTAGTCGAGCTTTTTGACATCCAAGGCAGCGCCGTCCTTGGATATAACGTCTTCATAGCGATTGTACCAGACCTCAAAGGTACAACCACTTTCGGGGTCGTATACGAATTCAGGTAAGCGCGCTAACAGCTAATCGCGAACACGGCTGCTAGTTGGAAACGCTGGAGCAGTCGAATGTGAGCCAGACACCATTCCTTTCATGTGACTGCCGAGTTCAGCGAATATTCTCTGCTGTTCGGTGAACATCTGCATCTGCATCTCCTGCTGCATCCTGGCCTCGGCATCCTTTTTGCGTCCATTTTTTGCGTGACTATCCGTCCTCGTTGACTCGATTGCCTGCTGCACTGATCGTTCACTTTGCCTGCGTTGAAGTCCCTAAACTGGTCGTTCTCGTTGTCCGCGCTAAAGTCCACTGATTGCCAGTTGCTGTAGATGTGCTTGTAGACAGTCGAGGAACGAAGGAATGTATAATTGACATAGATCAATAATACCCTACAACATCTCCAAACATAAAAAATAGTTTGAGAAAAATGGAAGAAGTAACGAGGTGCACATCAGCAAGGAACAAACCGGTTCTTTGGCGTTCCACCAGCAACGGCGTGTTCACGTCGACAGCTTCTTCGGGCTTCAATACATCACCAGCTATCTGAGAAGGAGCAGATCATCGGAAGGTATACTATACAATAGAGTGAATTCATTGTTCATCAGGCGCAAATCGTGGAGAATTGGGCAGCAGAAGAGAATTGCAATGCTCTTTTCGAGTAAAAAGAGAACCCATTTCTATTTAAAAAGAGACGACAACTGAAGCCAGCTTACTAACTTCTTCCAATGACGAAAGCAATTTTTGCATGAATACGAGACTTTTCACGCCGTGGAGAACCCACCTTATACAGCTTGGTAAAGTCGAGATGGCTTGAGTAATCCGTCTTTTGTGCTATAGCGAAAATTTTTTCCAGTGGCACGACATTTTCCGGGATGTCCTGAAAGAACTACTAAGTACTTTATATTTCTCGATCAAGCTAATAAAAGAAGGAAAATTTATTTGCGAAAATATTTTATCGAAGAGCCCAACCTTTAGAAGCTCATTCAGACTTGATGGTAACCCTTTAAGGAAGGCTTTCTTCATCTGATATACCTTATCAGGCTTTGAGACACAAGCCTGAATTTAAGAAGTTAAATTTTTCATAAAGAGCAGGAACACTAACCGCACATTTTTCTTACCTCCCATGGTAAAGTGCCTGTCAACCAGTATACCATATTGTATGCGAGTATTTCTAGGTCACCACGATACGACGGATGGCAACCTCGGTGCGCATCACATGAGGTGAAGATTGCGGTACCATCATGAGCTTAAGAAAGGTAAGAGTTGCAGACAAATTACATCGTCTAGAATTCATCATATAATCATTATACGCCTGTAGTACGAAAAGTATCTCTTACAAGCCACAGCCGTCATTCGCGTTCAATTTCTGAACTCTTTGCTTGGTCGCGAAAGGCAACAGAACACGAATGAATTCAACACGACAACGAGCAGATCATGTAAAACTTGCCCAAATCGCCAGGTACGCACGAAGCTCTACACATTTTAGCTGTGCCAGGGTTTTTACGGTAACCTGCGGTAGGCTCATTTCGACAGATTTTCTTGTCTAACTTTGTTAGTACCAGAACTGTATAGTTCTTCAATGACGGGCTAGCATGTCGGGCCACACTGCCTGGTATGGTAGGTAGGCAGGACAGGTACCGTAGGCGATCTTCTTCAATGAGGGAGGCAATGATCCAAATTCGTATAGAACTTCGGAACGACAGTAAACAGGCTTTTTCATCAAGGATGATGTGATCTACCTGATCATGGAAGTACACCGAGTGACTCCCACATCCATCGCGAAACGGCTTCCAGAACTGCGAATTACCAAATATAATGTTGGCCGACATGGTGAACGCAACCTGTTGACATCATTAGGTTTCGAGAGCCCTGATGTGCGAGCCCTTCGACGGATCTTCTGGCCTTCAAACCAATTTTGTACAGAAGTCTCCAATGATTACAGCTGAAAAAATATTATGTCCACCGTCGAGTTACACCAGGTCTTCACAAAAAACATTTTCAGCTTCTTATTGTCGTGGCTCGACGTTTCGCGTGGGCGGCGAAAGTTTTCAGAGCTGGGTTACCACACCCTTTCAATATCCAATGTAACATTAGGTTTGTCAGGCTCTTGCACGAACGTCGTGTTCATTGTTCGAATCATAGCACGTCTTGATGACGACTCCTACACGCCTCAATTGTCGCATAATCCGGACAAAAGCTCTTCAAGGGTCTCGAAGACGTCGCATCGCGAACGAATGTCCTCGCCTCTCAGCCATTTCGACGACATCCTGCGTGACCATCTTGGCGTGCATCGTCTTCACCTTTGTTATAAACTTGAACGCATTTTCCTTGCATTGTGAGTAGAGATGGTCGTCTTGGGCAATCATCATTCGACAACCTGTTTGGCCCTCAAAGTTCATCAGAATTTCTACAGCGGTCCTGCAATCCTGCTCATTGTCTTCACGTATAGCACCCACGAGTATCTTGCCAGGCACCAACGTTCAAGTTGCGTATACTCCAACAGTTAGTCACGCTATCCCTGAGTATACAAGAGGATGATGTAATAGAGGCGATCCAGACCGCCTCTCAAAATTTTCTTACCCTCTTTTGAATGAAATTCCTCATTCCTTTACATCTCACATACTTCTACAGAAAAGTCCGTTTGCCGAAAAACTTATCAAATAGGCATTACCTCTCTTTTTGACGGGTTTGTCTTCGTTGCTACTTGACAAGTGAGCTATGCCATAGTCAGCAAGCACTATAAGAAGCTATTTTGCCAGAAAAAAACCAAATTTAAGCCATGGAGAATTATATGGTACTNTAAACTTGAATGTCAATGCTTGTACTCCTCTCCTGGATCAAAACTATTCACGACATTCTCACCACATGTGGAGAAATCGTCCGCCTTCTCTAGCAGTATATTCGCAGCTTTTATGTCAGCATGAGTGTAGTCCTGAAAACAAGGATTCCGAATTTGAAAATGTCCATTGCCTATAATATACATTACAACAGGTTTTCCCTACAAAAAAGAAGCGAGAAATAACTTCAATGACTTCAAGATTATAAGGCCACAAAAGTGCAGAACGTCAAGAGGGCCAACCCAGCAAGGCAAGACTACTATTTTCTAAGTTTCTAAGCAGAAGGGAGAAATACGGCAAATCAGTTAACGGATTACCTTCGAATGGATATACTCAAGACTCTCCATCATACAGCGTGCAATGGTCCACACTTCCTTTTGTGTAAACGTTTTTCTTTCTTCCCGGATCTCCTCTAATGACGTTGCGTACTTCGGCAGAACGAGAAATCGAAGCTTCTCATTGCCGTACTGATGAATGCCAGCAGAAATCATTGTTGGTACTCCCAAACGCTTCAACTCTGAACTGAAGGATTATAACTTTATGAATAACATTCGCTCATTCCTAATCTTATTTCACTTACTCAATAACACAAAAGCAGTCGGCTCGCCGGGTTCCCCTCCTTCACTTGTTGAAATGGCCTCCCCGCCCGCACCATTTTCAAATTTGGAGGCTTCGGTAGATGAGAACAGGAGTTATACATCCTTGGCCAAACACAAACACCCAACGCGCTCTCCGTCCGCCAGGAACAAACCTCCTCAGGTTCTGAGTGTTTGAGTAACAATTTATTTCCGACTCATTAAACCTTGGTTTCGAAATTTCTCTTCAAGTCTAAATAAACGTTTTTTTTTGCGCACGCCTCGCCTCCTGTGTGCGGAGTGAGGTTCTGCCGCCCGACATAGGTGCTCCCATCCTGCCGTCCGCACTCCCATCGAATCTCAGCGCTCTAGGTACACGGGAACAGGAGCTATGAATTTCCACCCAAACCCCGCCTCTTGGCCTACTGTGGACGAAGACCTGTTTTTTTGAAACAAATTCTCTGCAAACTCCGCCCACACTGGCGCATCGTCTTCTCAGTTATAGGCCTCGATTTGCCTACAGTTTCCAGACTCAATGCATCTTTTTCCCGTTCTACAGGACTTCGAAGAACCGAGTTATAATGTTTCGTGGATAACTCGCCCACACTTGTGTGTGCCCCGCCCACCAATGATGGTTGACTTCATTTCCTTTGCTGACCTCTACCCACTTTTTTCCAGCATTCTAGAACGTTTCTGAAGTTGAAGTTGAATGAAATTTTGATCTAGGTCCCGCCCACTTTGGTGCCAACCCCGCCCACTTCGGGGACTCATAAACTCGTCATAGAATCCCTCGACCGGCGGACTGTGAAAGCAGCCAATGGAGTCTACGACGTTGCTGCGTGACAGAGCATCGTGAGTGATAATTTCAGACTGAACTGCATTAGTGTGAAAAAGAAGTCCCAAAAAAAAAGAAGTCATCGAGTGTATGGAACACCGAACAGCGATGAGTATGGTTTCAATAAAGACTCACTTTTTTCCCGCATGAACTGCGCAACATGATCCGGTTTCAATATCCCCATAAAGACGTACATTTCGCTGAAGAGGGGTCCATTACCAGGTTCGACTTTGACAACGAGCTCAGTTCTTGATCCGACCTTAACAAAACTCTCGATATATTGGTAATCTTTTCCCAACTGGGAGAAATTACGGAATTAGCATTACAGCCAACGGAATCCTAGCATATCTCTGCTCCAAAGGATTAACACGTGCCCTACAACATACTCATCTTGAAGGTCGTTTATCTTGCACTCCCTCACACCTGTAATCATTGTCGTTTGCGCAATTTCAGGCACATAAGGATGACAGTGCACTAAGAACGCAGAAATCACCCCTCATGAACCTAGGTTTGCGCAATCAACAGTGATTACAGCAACAGGTATTTACATATCTCTATACTACACGTTCATAGTACAACTGCTGTCGTAGATGTGAACGATACACTGACTTCAGTACACGAGTAGATGCGTCCAAATCCACCAGTGGCAATCTGCCGTCTTACACAAAACTGTTTCTTGGTGCTCGAGTCTGATATGACTGTATTTAGAGGTAGTTCGACGGCTAACTGGTG